AACATTCCCAATGGACATTTTTCTTAAAATGTTGATATTTGAGCATAAGTGTTTGAATCAGTAAGAAGTTTTTATTGGTATTGAATCTAGGGTTCAGGAGTCGCTGAACGTACACTAATGGTTCAGCTGTTGGGCTATTCTCTCTTCAGGAAACCTGCCAACATTTCAGCGTTATGCTTTTCAGGCTGGCTGAAGGCAGAAAATGGCAGCAGGTCTTAGTTTTTTTTTTTTTTTTTTTTTTCTCCAGTACCATTGGTGTACAGTACAGACAGCTTGAAGGTTTTTTATTTGTGATTAATTAAGTTAAGTGCAGAAAATGCTGCCAATCCTTTGGTTTGGTTGCTCTTTCTTTCTCCATTTGCACAGTAGCTCCAAGATAAACTGTTGCGTTCCATAAAAAACAGACATTATTGAAGCTGGATAAGTTATCCCCCAGCTCTGTGCGCATGCCTCTGTCCAAAATGTCCTAAAAGACACCTGTAAAATGCATGTCCAAATAAAATTAGCCTCTGGTTCTGCTCTTTCTTAAAGGTTATACTCTCAGCAGCCAAACATATTATAACCAGCCCTAATGTGTAGACAGAAAGAAACAGAAATGTTTATATTTTTATTTTCCTGGATTGGTTTGTGTTTCCATTCATGTAACTTTAACTGGATAGATAAAGAGAGATAAAGATAGGGAATTAGAAGTCAAACGGTTCTATAGATACAGGTCTTACCTAAGAGCATGCACACTATTGATAATGATAACACAGACTGTCCAGAATCTTCAGGTGTTTTCTCAATAAATATCTCAAATTATTTTGAGTCAAAGCATTTGGTGTGATTTAGTCTGGAGTGACTGAAATGAATTTTGTGCATTTGTTATTAAAAAAAGTTGTTTGAATGGACATTTGAAATCAAATGCTATCTATAAATTATATTTAAAGAAAAAGGTTTTGACAGTAACTTTGTGATTAACTTTTCCCAAATTTCTGTTTCATAATATATTTAAATTTTTGTTCTTTTTAGGATTTTTTATTCAAAATTTTTTTTTTCCAATTTCGTCGGATTTAGTTTTACGACTCATGTTCTTTTGAAAATGCGTTTTTCAAATAACTTTCTCTTCATTTCTGGGGGTTTTCTCTGGAGGGAGAAGCAAAAACTCATTTCTATTGATAGTCTCTTGTTTTTCCTGTGTTTTCCTGTGTTTTGTGAATCCACCACCAACCACTGAGCCAACAAGTAAAAAACTTTTCATTTGATACTTAATCAATACTCTGATTGGGTGAAATATAAGTAGAATAGCTTACCTCTACATATGTTGTTGGTGTTTTATTTGAATAAAGCTTTCTGAAAGAACTGCTGATAGTTTTTAGGTAAGAGTTGTGAACTGAATGTTGAAGCTCACTGAGACTGATGGAACGATACATGCTGTGTGTTACTGTCTGCTTAAATCCTCTATTTTATTTGTTTGAAGAGTTAGACTACTATGGTTGGACCGGCTCGCATCTTTAGCTCCAAGCTACCGCATTTCCGGCCATGTTGTGATTGCCCTTACTCTTTTGTTGTAGCTGGCTCACCCTGAAAACGGATATTCTGTCCAGCTGAAATAACTCATCCTTTCCTGCATCAGCATCACTCTATTTTAATGCATCCCTGAGTCATTTTTTTCAAGTAAATCTGGGCGAAATGTCACAGTTTTGACTGCATTTAATATCTCTGCATCAGGGTTTATTTATATTTATCTGCTGCTATTTTAAAGGGCACTTTGAATGAATCAAGCCAAAACATGAACATTTCTCAGACATTGAGGAAATTTTTGATTACAGAAGTGATTTCAGAGTGTTTGATCATCAAATCACAGACCCGATTCAGTGGCACATCAGATGTTTGTAAAACTCAGTAGTGACAGCGGTGACAGCCAATCACACAAGAAAAGACAGAGAGCCAATCAGGAGCTTGTGGGCGGTCTAAACGGAGGGAAGGAGGCTTCAGCTTGAGCTGCAGTTTTCTGCTTGAACCTAGTGCTTGACGAATGTCTGCAACTGTAGCGTAACATTGTTTTTGGACAGTAAAACCTGCAGGGGAAAAAATTACTTCTTTGCCTCAGAGACTCTTAAATGGACTCAAAACCCCTTTTTCCATTCTTGTTTGTTTTTATTCCATTCTGCTTATTTTCAGTAGTGCTTAGTGTCTGCGTAGTTATTAGAAATAATAATACTGTGTGATTAGTAGCTAATAAAGGTACCATTGTATTTTAACCCATGGTCTTCTCTGTTTATTTTATGCAGTGAACGATTTATCACTCAGGTCAGACCCATCCTCCTTTCAGAAACATCTAAATGAATAGAGACAGATTGATTTTTTTTGTGAAAATAACTCTTCTAATAGCCATAGTCTAAATTATTAAATCGGTGAAGGCAACGGGATCTTCAAAGATGATCAAGGAGTCCAAACTTTATGTAAAAGACTAAGAACCCTGCTGAATAGGCAAATTACAGATAATCATTCAACTAATAATCATTAAGTGTTTTTGAATCAATTTGACTGTATGATCTGGTTGAACTGTAAAGTGCCTTTAGATGACATGTGTTGTGAATTTGGCGCTATATAAAAAAACTGAATTGAATTGAATAAGTGGGTTCACCCTTGATTTGAATGACCCATTAATTAACTATAACTTCCAGTTCTAGTTAGTTAATATATTCATATTCTTCAGGATAACTTGCACAACAATTTGCATCAAGAGTCATCATTTATACAGTATTGGAAGTTAAGTAGAACTAATACATTTCTAAAACTCAATCTGAAGAAGTGAAAGTTGAAAAAAAAATGAATTTCAAAATATAAAAGTCTGTCAAAATTTTTTTGGGAGAAAATATATTTAGGAAAAAATATGAATTTTTTTTTAGAAAAAATAAAAATCTGAGAAGACAACAAATTTTCTTCAATTTCTTTTTTATCAAGAAGTTTTTCAAAGTTTTATTTTATGAATTGCACTTTCTTTTTTTATTTTAATTTACAAAACACGTTCCTTTTTCATGGAACAATAATGGAACAAAATTTACTCTAAAGAGAGACAATAGTTGGACCAGAGTTTTTAGAAGACATTGCAGCAGGAAGCAGTTATGGATCAGTAGTGTGAATAAATGAGACTTTTAACAAAAAATGTTTCCCCTGATCAAAACTTAAAGCAGTTCATCATTTTCCAATGCACTCACAGGCCATTCAACCTACAAGTATGACACCGTCTGTCAGCTGTTACAGCTGTGAACTTCCTGGCTCTGTTACTTGCTAGAGGTCGTCAAGACTAGACAACCATCAGGTGTCCCCATAATAAAGTAGAATATAACGCGACATTTCTGTGTGAAAATAATTTTCTAATATAACATTAAAATTATCAGGGAAACAGACTTATTGCTTTTCATTCGCTGTAGCCACAATTAATGCAATTAAAATAAATCACGCTGTGTGCAATAAATTTACATGATTTTTCGTTGTTCAATTGAAATATTGGAATACATTAACTTTTGATCAGATGTTAATTTATTGAAATGCACCTGCACAAAGTAAAACCGTCCAACACTTTGATGATGACTCTAATGCATGAATAATAATAATCTTAAAAGCCTCTTTATCAATCCTAATTAGGTTTGGACTTCATTGTCACTTGTATAAAATGAAATGATGATAACTGACTGATATTTTCTATGGTTTCATTAGAAAAGTTCCCAGCTCATCCGACCAATTGATTATTTGGCAGAGAACAATCTAACTTCAATTAATAGCAATTAGAGCCACCCAATTAATCTGCACTATAATAGAATGTGAGTTTCAAAATGTGAATTTTGTCATTAATTAGTGATCTTTGGCTGTGAACATAATATGTCATACACAAACTTATAGTTTATTCATTTCTGGGTCATTTGCTAATTTATGTTACTTTCTGTATTTTCTGATAGAAAAGACAGATTTCTTTTACAGCAGAGACTAATTAGCATTTGATCTACTTACTGTAATATATAATATTTGTAAAAATACCTGATTAATAGTAATATACCTGCCAATGAAATGGCGATAAAATTACGTAGTTTAACTTTAAACACAAATAAAATAAAATCAGCTGCGAAAGATTAAGTTCCCAAGATATCTTTAAGTTTTTTTTTTTATCCAGACAATGCAGTTTAGAATAAAACATGTTTTTTTTGTTTGTTTGTTTTTTGGTTGGTGTGTCTTATGTGCTTTGTCCTCAGTACGTCATCAGTAAATGTCTTTAACTTTAATCTATCCAATGGAAAAGATTGTCACAGAGGAAATTAAGTAGGGTGACCAGATTTGTGTTTCTGAAAAGGAGGACATTTTTTCTTTCTTGAGAGGGGGGGTATGAAGAGACACAAATGTTGTCTTGTTACTTACCTTATACTTACCTACAGATAGAGCCACCGTGCATCTATACATGGAAGTGCTGTTACTACTACACCACCACACATTGATCGATTTCTGCACATGTACCCAGCTTTGAAAGCTTTCTCTTTGTCTTGATCAGGCCCCAAGATCAAGATGTTTTTTGAGGTTGAGGCAGTTGACCAAAATCCCGGACGATTTTGAAATTCCCCCCGGTCTGAAAAGTTGGACATTATCGGGAAAAAGCGGACGTCTGTTCACCCTATATTAAACCCAATCCAACCAGAAATGCGATCAGGTGTAAATTCAAAGGTTACTTATCCCTATAAAGCCGGGCATACACTGGACGATTTTTTTGCCCTTTTTAGGCCCATTCTGCAGTCGTGCAAAAATTGTTTCGATTGGGTCGAGTCACAGCTTCATCGTGCTTCCTGCATCGTGTAGTATGTGGGGGTAAAGGGGGCGACCAGCCTCAACACCACCTCCCGACCAGGAATATATAAATTAATTTTCCTTATGGTTATGTTCTGTTCAAATCCAGTTAAATGACCAAAGATAGTAGCTATAGTGTTAAAAGGATCAGACGAACATTAGCTCACGCTAAACGTACTCACCAATAGAAACGATTAGGAGCCACTTTCTCGTGTACCAGCTGCCACCTTCTTCCAAACTCTACAGAGCTGTAAAGCTGTAAAACACAAAACAAAGAGACATTAAATGTACTTATTAAAGGTAATATAAAAGTGCGGCTAAAACTTAGAGATTAACTCTCTGATATTCACAAAGTTATCAAATAAGACACTTAGGGCATGATACGCAAAGAATCTGAACGTTCTACAGGCAGTGTGGGAGTAGCTGTAAGAGAAAGATGAAGTTCTAAGCCATGGGGTTATAGGGGTCATACACACGTTGTCTTGTTTTTAAAAATAGAAATATAAAAAATATAGCTGCGGATGTCTGGGGGACAGTGATTCGCCTACATGTTATGAATGCTGGCGTACCATAAATGATCAATTATGAACAGTTTAGTTTGTGCCTTTCAGGTCGTTGCCCATAGGAAGACGTTACTTGGATAAAACCTAACAGAATATATGTTTACATAACAGAACAGAACATGATGTAATAACGTAAAATCAAGGGCCCAATGTAAAAACCGGCGTTCCCCTTGAATAAGAACAAAAAAAACAAATTTATATAATGCAAAAGGTTATAACACATTTTACACATACTGTAAGAACTGCTAAAGCGCTACAAACATAAGTAAAAAACAACAACAACAAAAAAACATGCGTGATGAATATTGAAGTCTAATGCTCTTAACACCCACCTAATTTTATGTAATCCTCGCCTATTTTGCGTACCCAAATGGAAAAGCAAATAACTGAGGAACTGTAAGCCAAAATTACATGTGTGATACATCACTTGAATTTATTATTATTTTCACAAACTTCTAGTTTCTGAAAATATAAATAAAAGTTGGGTGAGTAAAACCCAGCCTCAACTTCATCAGTTCAAACATGACTCAGTTTTTTGTTCTTTTCGAAAATAATAGATCTTTTTTTTTTAATAGCCGTAATAAAGACACGCTTGAGAATAGGCAGGTGTCATTGTATTGTACACATATTGTACATTTATTCTACACCATGTCAACCACAAATGCAAAAAAATTCAGACCTCTAGCTTGAACAGTTACAGAGCTGTGGGGTTTTGAACTTTTTGGTGTCACCACTGTCTCCAAACCCCTCCATATGTGCCGAATTGTGCCAAATGCTTTTACTCAACTACTTGACCCATAGAATAAAACTGAAGCGTTTTAATGGCCACAAAACATTTATGAAGCAAGTCTTTTCTACTTTGTTTTATTTGCATAATTATTGACTTTTCATTTAGTATTTGCATTTCATTTAGTGAATAACTACCTGGCGTATCATTGGCTGACATACAAGGAGCAAGGAGCCTGTGAGACTTCATCTGAACTGAATAAACTCGAGTTGTAAAAAAATACAAAGAAGACACTTTTGTCTTGCAGGTAGGAAGACGATGTAAAAAACAAACAAAAAAACATTGCAGACAGACAAACGACTGAGAAAGTAAGTCTTATTAGCAAGATGCTACGCATCAGCTATGACCAGCTGACCTTTGTGATTTCAAAAGCATGTTATGGGCAATATTAAAATATTTTTAATATGAATATTCTGGATTACTTTTAATCTGTGGACCCTTAAGGACGAATAGTGTATAAACAATTGAAGATTGGATTCATAAAAAGGCTTCCTGACGCCTTCAAAGGTATGTAGTTGTGGCTGCTTTGTCATGTTTACATTTTGGCATGCTGCTATATCCGTATTAATTGTGCATTGGTGCTCGCTGTTTTGAAAAAAGGATCTTGGTGTTTGAATTATGGAGAATCTAAGCTTTCTAACGATGTCTAACATGTCTATATTTGTAAAAACTGGGTGGGTTTATCGAGGTTAAATATCGATCATAGTTTAATAACATGTTAAAAAAGGAACAGCTCAACGACCAAGCGTCAAACATCAAGAGTCTGACTTTCAAGCATGTAAGCTGAGGCATTGGAAGCCATTTAGATGCTCAGTTGGTGTGAGCGCACCGTTACAATGAAATGAAGCCTTTACCTCCACCAGCTGCTTACCAAACCTGCCTGAAATAATATGTTGCACATAAGCAACCCGATGAGAAATCTATGAAACTTAACTTACCACAAGTTAGAGATGCTGACTGTCAAGTTCTTAACATTTCTATTGACCTGATATCCCATTAAAGGCTCCAGGATGGTTGTTCTCTGGTGGCTCTTAATGTTCATTTTGCTGTATTTATGCTTCGATATATAAGATTAGAAGTATTGTTTTTCATTTTTGTTTAGTAGTGTAAAGATTGGTTGATTCCATCTGCAGTAGTCTGTCCTACCCAGGCCTTTTCCTCAAATAGTTTACTACTGTGTATACAAAATGACAATAAAAATTGTCTAAGTCTACTATTGTTTTTTTCTTACAGTTCAGAAATGTTTACAGACTCTTTTTCCAAGGGCTGTCGTTGTGCCGATGTCTCCTTTGTGGCCTTCAATACTGGAGAAACATTTGAAAGGAAGTATGTAAATTACTTGCAAACATACAAAATCTGGACACAAAAGCTGCGCCTGCAATCTGTTGCATGTTTGGTTATATGGAAATATCTCCATATTCATCCAGACACAAATAAAAAAAGTTGACGTACGCTGTACTGCTCATTTTAAACATTAAATTCAATTTGCATCTGTAGATCCTTTCAAGTTTTTAAATGTTTCTATGGAAGCTTTTGAAGGACATAAACATGGTATTATGAGAACGGCACACAAAGGAGCCCAGAACACAGAGCTCAGCAACATGAACGCCAAGTAAGGCTGTGGAGACATATTCTTTAACTAAAGTACTGTCACAACTAGTTAATTAAATGTAGTAACGAAGAGAGTAAAAACATAAGTGGTTGAGATAATGGGATGGAAAGAACTATGTGGGAAAAAAAACTATATATAAAACAAGAGCAACTTTGTTCCTCCGATCCTTCAACAGAGATTTAATTAAAAACAGATTTTGCATTATTAAAACACATTTGTTTTTTTCTCAGGAGCTTAAAATAACTGTTTAACAAATGTCTCAAAATAACACTAGCACACGCTACTATGCTTTTATTTTTGCATGTTCAAATGTAGATACAGGAAAAGCAGATAAAGGTGTCATAAATTTAGTTATCTGGAGTTACTGAAGGGCAAAATATAAGAAAATGAAATCACAAAAAACAGGTGGTATTTTGATCCCAATAATTTTCATTTGGAATTATCAATTAGAAAATAAATATATAGTCATACTGAATGATATTGAACCATTCTGTTTCAATTCATTGATTCATTTTATCTTGAAAAAAATATTTGAAAATTTAACCTACCTGAATCATTAGCATAAGAAACTATTCACACTTCTTATACTTTAATTCTTATTTTCAGAAATCATCTCTGCATCATTTCTCTGCAGGTTGATCAGTAAACGATAACCTTTAGATACTGAAGTAAAAGTCTTATTTATCCTTGAACATGGTGTAATGTGTGATAAAGCACAAAAGCAAATATGTTTGCTCTGCAGCTTACAGATGAAATCTAATAAAGCTCTAAACATGTTTCAATGTTACACACCTACTTATTAGTTTTTGGAGTTTAAGCAGCAGGTATAAACAGTTGTTTATTAGCTGATAACCAAAATGTCTGTTTGCATTCATTTGTTTTCTAATTTAAATGTATTTACTCTGTTCAGAAAAACAAATTGTGGACCTGCTTCCTGAAACTCATCATCCCACATGGATTATCACCGCTGGATAATCTGCTTTTTACTGCAAATGGGATCTTCTGTCTCTGAGAATCAGAAGATCATTCCAATAAACTACCCTTTTTAGATCAATCAATCAGCTCTTATACTTAAAAGAAATAATTTATTTCAGTATTATAAAAGTAATATTCTATACTGTGTGGATTCTGCTGGGAGATGTTTGGTTTGCTGCATGTTCTAAGCTAAATGTCTGGTCCACTTTTATTCCCACTTCTTATTTCTCAGCCAATCCTTATGCTTCGTTCAGACTGCAAGTAGCAGGAGCAGCAAAAATGCGCGTGCTGCTTCATTTTTTAATGCTTGTAAGAGTTTAATTCTGACACATGACTGAAGCATCTTTGCTGGAAGTAGATTGTTAGCCTTTTTTGTAAGCACCAGAATAATAAAATTGAATTTATTTTGCCAGGTTTCTACATTTTAAATGTTGGTGTTAATAAACTGTTTCAGAGGAGTGATCATAGCGCTCTGCATCAGCAGTGCTGTGTCTGACTCCCTGCCAGCTCCCTGATCAGCTTCTCTGATTCGTTGATGTGACGCATCAAGCAGCAAAAGTAATTTTTTTCCGTATCCAGCTGCTGATTGCGAAGCGTGTCACGGTTGCAAATGCTCAGAAGGTCGTGAAGCGCTGCTCCTGCAGCCCAAGACACGCTGCAGGACCTTTCAGTGTATTCTCATTATGAGTTGGTATGAAATCGTACGAAAAGTTATGCACCGTAATTTCGTACGTTTTGGACGTTTTTTTCGTCGTATGCGCATCTGACGCACCATTCATACACATAGAATATAAATTACAATTAGCCCTAACCCTGACCCTAACCCTAAGATATAAAACAGCAAGCAACGTAGTTAGAGACATGAATAAGTGATGATTGCACTGTTTTTCCCAGTTTTCCGTCCGTCCGCGGATCTGTTTTTTTTTTCTGTCTGCCAGCGCATGCGCACTGATGTGGGTTTTTGAGGAAAAACGTCCAAAACGTACGAAATATTGTGCATAACTTTTCGTACGATTTCATACGAACTGATAATGAGAATATGTTGGACCTTTTGCTGCACCATGATATGCATCAACCATTGACTTTGCATGTAAACCAGTGTAGCATCAGTCGATTTGTTGGTATAGTTTGGGTCATTGTCATGTTCCAGCCCACTTTGACTCCGCCCACTTTGCCTTCGGGTAAACACGATTATCGCTCCCAGAGCGAACTGTTTACATGTTAGCTCTATATAGAGGGCGGCTCAGGAGTACTGTGGGGTGAAGGTCATTATGCTAGCGAGCCAAAAGACACTTTCTTTTGCCTAAAACAACAAAGTG